GGTGAACCCAACGTCCGATCTGACCGTGTGGCAGTGGCAGAGGATCAAGTGGTTCGGGCTGAAGATGTGGCTCGAGAGGTGAATCTGGCGCTATCCGGACAAGCTGGTCGCCGTGCACTCCCCCGGCGATGTCCTGTACGGCGGCTGCGACGAGACCACCATCCAGTACAAGTACGACCAGATCGTCAACGCCAGCGGAGGCACTCAGAAGATCGTCCTGGCTGCCGAGATGTCGCCCTACCCGGAGGACATGGTCTGGAAGTACAACATGACCGCGTCGCTGGAGACGCGGAGGCACGCCGTTCTCTCGAACCCCTCCGTGCCGCAGGACTGGGCGGAGGACTACGCAAACTGCACATGCAAGCTCCACGGCATCTGCAGCAGTCCGCCCGGGTACCAGTACGCGAACATGGGCTTCATCATGGGCCCCGCGAGCGACGTCTACGAGATGCTCTCTGGCCTCAACAGCTACACAGGGCTCGACAACCGCATGATCAACGAGTACTTCTTCGACATCCCCGACCTCGTCACCATCGCCTACGCTGGCAGCCTGGTCGCCGACGCTGATGGCAGGGAGGGGGGCTTCATACAGATCTTCGGCGTGAACGCCCCTGGCCGTGAGCCGGCCCCGCCAATGCCCCAACCAACTAGTTTCACAGGCCTGCCTCACCCGTCTTTCCTCTTTCGTTTCGGCTTTCCTCGACGCCTCCCTCCCTGCCCTTCTCACGTGCATCTGGGTTGCCTTGCTAATGTCCTTTTAATTCGTGGCACGCCCCAGCTAACGCCATCGTGCCCCTTTCTCCGATGCCTCTTCCTTCGGATCCTCCCTTTGCCCCGTGTCTCCAGCCCTTGGGTTCAGGCGCTCGCTTTCGAATTAGGGGCGGTCGACCCTCTCCCTACGGCCAGCTCCCACGCTCCCCTCTTCCTCCGCCCTGCCCCCGACCCCTGCCACCGACAGCCGACCACGACCTCGACGTTCAGCTGCTCCACTACCTGCGTGCCCACTTCGAGCTCGATGAAAACATCCCGCGTGACGCGGCACGACGGGAATCAACGACCAGACGCTGAGCAGCAGCGCGGAGACCAACGACATAGCTCCGAGACCGATCAGTGGCACGAGCAGGGTCCCGAGCAGGGGGGCGCACCACACGTCACCGACCAGCTCGACGCCCCGCCCGACGCCCTACCCAAGCACCACGCCATACCCGACGCCCCTCCCCAACCCGGCACTGTACCCAACGCTTTCTCTCGACGCGACGTCTCACCCGACGCTTTACCCAAGTTCGACGCCCTACCCGACGTCCAAGATGGCCCAAGACGGCTCCAAGAGCGAAAAGGCGGGAAAGCAAAAAAACATTGATTCCCCTAGGTTTTGGAAGGATTTAGGCCTCTTTTGGGGCCCAAGAGGCGATTCGAGGCACTCTAGAGGGGCAACGCTAATTGCCCCCCCCCCCCCCCCCTTCTTTGTAGATCTCCTCCAACATGGCCCCAAGAGCGCCCCAAAGGCTCCCAAGAGCGCCCCAAGAGCGCCCCAAGAGGGCCCCAAGAGGCCCCAAGAGGCGCCCAAGAGGCCTCCAAGAGGCTCCCAAGACCCCCAAGAGGCCCCAAGAGGCTCCCCGAGATACGCAAGAGGCCCCCAGGACCGCCAAGAGGCCCCAAAGACGGCCCAAGAGGCCCCCAAGCTCGCCACTGTCCTCCTCCTCCTCCTCCTCCTCCTCCTCCTCCTCCTCCTCCTCCTTCTCCTCCTCCTCCTCCTCTTCTTCTTCCTCCTCCCTCCTCCCCCCTCCCTCTCTTCCTCCTGCTCCTCCTCCTCCTCCTCCTCCTCCTCCTTCTCCTTCTCCTCCTTCTCGTCCTCCACGTCCTCGCCCTCCTCCATCTCCTCCTCTTCATCTTCCTCCTCCTCCTCCCCCTCCTCCTCCTGCTCCTCCTCCTCCTGCTCCTCCTCTTCCTCCTCCTACTCCGACGAAAAACGACTCCTCCTACATCCTCCCCCTCTTGGGGTATATGGCGGCTTACCCCGCCCTTTGTTCTTCTGCATGCTCCCCCGCTTCACTCATCACCTCCACTCCCCTGGGACTCATTTCTGCACGGGCTGGTGGGGATACGATAAGCGTTTAGAATAACTTCACCAGAGAAGGCGTTGCAATGTTCAGGCAAGCCCACGCAAGCAACAAAACACGGACGAACAGTCACACAAGACGAACAATATTCAGCCAGTCGTCAGCAAACGGCCAATGGCAGCGTTGGCGACGGTTGCGACGACAACACCAGCAGTTTGATTAAGACGCCAACGGCACTTGACAAAAACATGACAACCCTGGCCGCGATTACAACAAAGGAAGCACTGGAACGGAAGGGATGCGGCGGGCACGACGAACAGTAAGCTCATCAAAGATCCCAGCGTAGAGCGTTTAGGGCCACTTGCACAAACAGGGTGTGTCTAGGGCTGCGACACATTGAGATAGCCCAGCAAACTGTTGATCGCGGCGTCAATGTCAGC